ATTGCATATGAAATATTTCAGACATAACTCAACTGAAGCATTTAAAATTTACTGTATATGAAAGATTTCAGAAACCGCTCAATTGCAAGGCTTGCAATTTCATTTCATATGAAATGTTTCAGAGATAATTCAACTGAAAGTTTTGCAAAATTATGTTCATGTAAACTATTTCAGAAACATTTCTGTTGCAACATTTCATATGACATATTGCAAAATTCTTTCAGAATTGTTACACATGATATGTGAAAGGTCGAAAGGATTTTGAAACCTTACTTAAAGTTTTCTGCAACTACTGGTGCTGTATGGGAACTAAACTAGCCAAATCGGTATTTCAGATGGATTGCCGCATCAGAGGAATAACTGCCATAATAATTTTAATAATATCAACGCCAGAAACTCATGGAATAATAGGCTACGATTGTGGATCAGCAGCCGCTAATTTAACTACATTGTCGCTAGTAAACGTTGAAGAATGCGACGTACCAATCCAGCAAGTAAATTCCACCAAAATCTATGTCCAACTACTCCAGCTTAATGATTTTAATTCTGTAAAAGTAATACAATGTAAAGTCGAGATAGACCGTACAGTAAAGAAGTGTGGAATGTTTTCGCATACCTTGGATGTATACAACGGACAATTTTCATACATAGCCGACATAACGCGAGATGCATGCAGACACATGCACACCTATGGAACCTTCGAAATAGCTGGAACTCGTATATTAGGATTAAAATCTAATCAGACTGCCTCGCGACCAATAGTTTTAGCCGGTCACGTTGACAATGACGGCGGATGCTCCAGCAGCGCTTATTCCGACCCGTATGAGACTTGGGGAAATGTCATTGTGTTAGGCAGCCTCAAAATAACCTTGCAAGACTATGTCGCCGAGGTACGAATAAATACTAACCGCGTACACCTCCGATCAGGAGTAAGCTGCGAGTTAAGCTCTACTCATTGTACAGATATAGAGGGAGGAGGTACCTTTTGGGATCCCTTGCCTGCCGATAATTGCAAACTTTCTGACTACGGCGTATTGTACAATGGATACGCTAACAAAATACTCGATTTGGCAAACGAACGATCACAAACAGTTTATTCTATCAATACGCCAAGCATGATTTTTTCTTTAACCAGCACTGGAACATATAATACCTGTGGATACACTCTTATCAGGACCGAGCATCCAAAATTAATAATCTTCGAAACGTCGCTCGGTAGCGAAGTTTTCAAAAGCTCCGGGTTTATCGCACTAAACATAGATTTGTTTTCGTATGTAAATTCGAAATTCGTGTACGTAGAAAGACACATCCGTACTCAGATTAATCAATTGTATCGCAATATATTATTACAACAATGCCAAATTGAATACCGAACGATGCAGAACGCACTAGCTATAGCCGCTAGATCACCTGATATCTTCGCATACCACTTTATGAAAGGACCAGGATACATGGCACTATTAGCCGGAGAAGTGATACACATGGTAAAATGTGTGCCGGTCGAAGTAAAATTAGCACGGACTGATGAATGATGAACAACTTCCTGTGTTACGGGGAAACGATACGTATTTTTTGACCCCTCAAACTCACATACTAGTACGCCACGGAACACAGATTACCTGTAATTCTTTTGCACCTACCATGTATCTTTTGGGAGACTCATGGTATAAAATTATGCCAAAACCAGTCGAAACAGTACCGCCCACCATCATGCAACCAGCAACCAAACCATCGTGGAAATACGTCAGCCCTGGCGCACTGGCGACCAGTGGAATATATTCACAATCCGACTTGGAAGAACTTAAGGGGATGCTGGAGTGTCCTGTTTTACCATCAGTTTTTAAAGACTCTTTTCTCTTAATTGTGTTTATGGATTGAAAAGTCCTTCTCCACAATTAAAGTATCGACAACAACACAGGCTGCCAGCTACAATGTAATGCGAAAAATGAAAGAAAATTAAAAATTGTAGTTTTGTCACCGGCTCCTGCAGTCAACTCGTCACAATATGTGCTGCATATAAGAGTTTCAGATTTTACCCGTTTAAAATAAGTAGCCAGCAGCCTACAGAAAACCTTGAAGAACAATCCTATGCTTTTAGAAACGATGTAGGGGCTTTGGTATAAGAGAAAAGAGTCGCCAAAAATTTCGTTCGTATACTACGAATAAAATTGACGTGAAGCCATGAAACCGTGCAGTATTTTAGTTGATCTCTTTCTAAGAGATGGCGTTGCAATATGTCAGATAAGGACAGATGAATGCGTTTGAGCGAGACACAACGATATAGATAAGTATAAGAAATGAATGAAAGATGTCACTATTATCGAATTTGGAATGTAAAAAAGTCTGTACTATCGACTTTGATTAACTTCGACCGTCACTCCAGCATCCCCTTAAAGACCACATAATGTTCCCCGCAGAGCGGCCTGCAATTCTTAACACTGTAGCGAGAGGTATATTAGGGCAAATAACGGTACTTAATGGAGGATCTCTCTCAAACCTCCTCGACGAAGCATCGACAGAAAAAATTACAATGTCCGCATGGACAAAATTTTGGAACAAATTTACAATATTTGGCAATATTAGTGCTGGACTAATAGGAATATACTTGATTAGCAGACTCATCAAATTATTTCTTGACACATTCGTGCACGGATACGCCTTACACACAGTATACGGATGGTCCGTGTATTTAATAGGAGCCATATGGGACTCGCTTACCCAACTCTTATTACACTTAGGAAAAGATAGACCAAAACACGGAAAGCCCAGCGCTCCCGATGCACCCGAGAACGATGACCCCGAAAATGGAGATACATTGACCCTCACAGAAATGAAGACAGAACGAACCTATCCCCCCTCCCCACCGTGGAGACAACGGCTTACTCTTTGGAGCTAAGGAGCTGAACCACTTGTTCATCTGTCTACACTAACGCATAACCATATGCTACGATATGTTAGTTCGCATGTTACACCATGCAGAAATAATCATTTAACCGCATGATTATCCATGCAGATATAGCATCTTGCTACTCTAAATCTCTAGTAAAAAAAAATAATAATAATTAAAAAAAGAGAAAAAAGTATATATATATATAAATATATACAGTGATTGGAGAAAGTTCGGCAACGGTCAAATATCTTGGAAAATAATGCTTATGGAAAAAAATGTTCAATACAAAAGTTTTAGTATATCAAGTGGTCTATTATAT